TAAGTTATAACATCAAGTTTTTATCTTGGCAGGTGACTCTGTTTACCAGAGGAAAAGCACCAATCACTCAACAGTTGCCAGGTGAATCCGATAAGGACTACACAGATTTTGCTTCAAAGGTATTGTACTAGTGTCACTGAGGATTTGAAGTCCTTTACTTTAACTTGGAATTCTTTCCCAGATTTCCATTTTCTAATAATCATGTTCGGCTAGATTTTGCACTTGAAAGGAGACAGAAAAGACTATGAGTTTGTGAAATCCAGTCTTTCAGCTGAAGGCTTTGATGTTGTTTATGATATAAATGGTGCGCATAGTCTTCACCTTTAGCCTCTGTACTTTAAAGTTTTGCACTAGAATAAAGTTCTTGTTTACCATACTTACGCTTCTGCGCAATAATCTGTACTTCTGTTGGAAATTTTCAGGACGAGAGGCAGAGGAAGTTGTGCCAATACTGGAAGGACTACCGAAGTTAGAACAGTAAGAACAGCCTACTGATGGATTTTCATATCCTAATTAGTAAAGCAACTTGATTATTTCACCTTTATTTCTTGATGGTTCGCCAGTATAGCCATCTTGTCCTGGATACGGTTTTAGATTGGGACTCGTTGAAGTAGAAGTCAACTCTAATTAGCAAACATGTTATGCTTTGTGTGTAATATTGGCTTCTGGTTAGAAGAAACAAGACTATCATAAGAGATTTTATCAAAATATTCTGGAGTATGGAAGATTTGGAAATTCTACAATCTCTCCGTCCTAAAGTCAAGCACCTTTTACTGGGGCTTATCATTTTACTATCTCCGTAAGGAAAATAAGCCTGGTAAATATGTTTAAATTGAGGAGAAGCCAGCTGATATAATCAGGTGTACAGAAGTTCAATGGTAATGATGTAGTGAGAGATGTATTGTGAGTCAAAATGGAACTAAAGAATCAATCATGACCTGGAACAATCAACTTTTATAGTGCAGATTAATGATTATGGTTTGTTTGACTACATTGTTCTAAAACTTAACCAAACACTAGCAGGGCAGAACTAATGTTTTGATGCTGAAAAGCTATAGAATTGCAGTTATTTTCTCTTCTATATAATGCCAAATTTTGGAAGATCTAAGAATTCCACTGATTCTCAGGTATATATACTGCTCTTCAGCCGGTGTCTATCTCAAATCTGATCAGTTACCTCACTTTGAGGTATGTTTGATGTTATAAATGGCTTACTTATTCATGTTTTGGGAAGTTGGATCTTTGTTTAAAGTGATGATTAATGTAGGCTCAAGCTTGAAACCTTGAAGGCATAGGCTTTGTTTTCTGGATACAACTGTGAAATGTAATTTGATCTTTGTCAAAGGCAGAGATTGAAGAATAGCCTTCCCAATTAGACAAAATTATAAATGAAAAGTTTCTAAAACTTTTAACTTGATTTGAGCAGATGAAAATCAAGTTTGGAAATAATTAAGGCCAATCCAGACTATACTTGCCTGAATTTGGCATGTCAGAAGATGCAAACATGCTTTTCTCATTGTTGAGCTCAGTCTCTTCTTAGCCGACATTTGTAGTTTTTAGTAGTACTCTTGTAATTCAAATTTCAAATCAATCTTATCATGGCATTGTGGAAATTGAAGCTTAATTAGTTGCTCTAGAGTATCGATGATGCTCTTCCTGACTTATTTTTCCTCTATGCTATTTTTTTCTCCTCCCTATTTCATTTTATTGTCTTTCCATAATTCTTAACTTGATGGGGCCTGGTGATAGACCGATGCAGTTGATCCAAAGAGCAGGCACAAGGGAAAGCTTGAGACTGAGACCTTGCTCGAATCAAAGGGTGTCAATTGGACTTCTATAAGGCCAGTCTACATCTATGGACCATTGAACTACAACCCTGTTGAAGAGTGGTTCTTCCACCGGTTGAAAGCTGGCCGCCCAATCCCAGTTCCAAACTCAGGGATACAAATAACACAACTTGGTCATGTTAAGGTTAGTGACGTGCCAGTCTTAATGTACTTTTAGATATATATATATATATATATATATACATATTGTAATTGCAGCATGAGGGCAAGTTTTTAATGTGATTTCTTTTGCAGGATTTAGCGACAGCCTTCATTAAGGTTCTTGGGAATGAAAAGGCAAGCAAGGAAGTATTCAACATCTCTGGAGAAAAATACGTCACCTTTGATGGATTAGCAAAAGCATGTGCAAAGGTAATGACTGTCGATAAGTTTGTAGATGGACAAAAGATTTGTGATATTCTCAAACTAAAGTCTGTCATATGTTTTTTCTTTTGTTAGGCTGGTGGTTTTCCTGAACCTGAGATCGTTCACTACAACCCCAAAGAGTTTGATTTCGGCAAGAAGAAGGCATTTCCATTCCGTGACCAGGTGAATATGGTTGCAGAGCATGCATGGCTTGAAAAAACCAAATAGTTTACAGCTTGAACAAGGTGGAACTGATTATGTTGTTGATTTGTTGCAGCATTTCTTTGCATCGATTGACAAAGCAAAGAGCGTGCTTGGCTTGAAACCTGAGTTTGACCTGGTGGAAGGTCTTGCAGACTCCTACAACCTAGACTTTGGTAGAGGAACTTTCAGGAAAGAAGCTGATTTCTCAACAGATGACATCATTCTTGGGAAGAGTCTGCTTCTCCAAAGCTAATTGCTATCATCTCGTTTGCTCCCTCCATTTTCATCAATCAGGATCAAGAGACTTGTTACTTCTCAAATCTATGGTGCTGTAATTTTCCAAATTATTTTTCTTCAATGCAAATCCCCTTGAGCCACTTAGCAACCATCTTCCTTCAGAGGTTGGGATTTAGTCCAATGTCCAAACATTATCTAGAAACTGTCAGTGTCAAGTCCAGAGACTATCTAGAAATGTTAGTGCAAAAGTCCAACAAATTATTAAAAAAATAAACTGTGTGACTAGCCCTCTGAATTGTTCCAATGGATTGGGTTGGCGTAAGGCAATGAAATATGTCTCATAAATTTAACAACTATCAACAATCAAAGATAAACAAAACAATTCCAAGCAATCACTCAGATTCAACCACATTGCTCTTTCTTTCTGGGGTACATTTTGAATATCGGTGCCTCTTCGAAGCAGTTTTGGGACGATTTTGGCATGACATAGTGAATAACCAAACACTATCAGTTGGTACAGAGAATAAATTGAATCCGAACACACCATCTCGAGTGCTTTTATTAACAACTTGAACTACAAGTTTATTGTATTTGCATCTGAGTATATCCTTCTTTTAAAGTTAGAATTTTTTGCTTAATTTAATTGGAAAACTGTTCTTGGAATGAGAAAATCACATATCAAATCAATTGAAGTTATCATTCGCAGCTTAAGCAGGAAAGTTCCTACACTAAATTTAAAAAAATGCCAAAAGGAGAGTAGATACAAATCAGTGGCTCAAAATCAGGAAATGATAAATAATCAGAAAAATCTTGACCGTTAAATCAGAGATCCGAAATTTAAGGAATCGGTCATCCAAGAATATGTGACCGAATATTCTCTTTATAAAAAATTATCCATTTTCAGTCGCGTTTCTCAGCTTCTGCTATTTTCGTGCCAAGTAGGTCAGTCAATAGTCCGACAGTTCACACTCCATAAATACATTATCTTAAACATATTTACTATAAAAACCCAAAATATTATCCAAAAGATCTGGTCGGTTAGCGTTATCCTATGAAGTAATGGGGCCCTCTTATCCTAATTTAATTTAAATTGGCCCCACCTATTTAATTTCTTGTGCTAATTAAACTCAGACACGCTCATACTTTGGACCAACTAACAAAACTAGAAAAAAGGAGAAAATAAATAAAAATAAATAAAAAAAGGGATGCCTGGTTGCTTCTAGGAGGGTCTACGGTCCACCTTATGCCACGTGGCGAAACTTTGTTCTCTAAGTTGGATGCTGCCACATGTCGCTCCCCTTGCAATCGCGGGACACGTAAAAAATCCAATGGACCCCACTGCACTAGAATATCCCAAAAGTGACCGGTAGTTTGGGTGGTTGGTTTTTACGTGGAGAGGTGTGATTGAGGGCCCCGCGTCAGTAATTTGAGTCGACAGAGAGCGTGCCACGTTTCAGAGCTTTTTTCGACGTGGCAAAGAGCCGGTGAGTTTTCGTGTGAGGAGATTTAGAGGTTTGGTCTTTTTCGTTTGGTTGGCACAGCAACCTCTCTGGTCGGTGGTGGTGGAGCAAATGTAAACATAAGTATTTTTTAATTTTCTATTACCATTTTACCCCTGTGTTTTTTATAATAAAATAAAAATCATTGGTTTTAGCGCTTTTTATTCTTAATAGAAAGATATTTTCACGTTCAAACAAAAACAAATAAATATATTTTTACTTGGAAATAAAAAATCATTAATTTCAGTAAAAAGTGGAATTTTTTAATATATAATTTACTTTATAATAAATTTCCCCATATTTTAAAAGATGATATTGGGTTGATAATAAATTTCCCCACTACATGACAGCAGCCTCGACAATTTCGTATGAACTGCACGTGTAATAATGAAAAAAATGCAAGGTTAAAATCGTCTATGAAAATCAAACAACGGACTTAGACTCAGAGGATCAACAGTTTATTATTTAATTAATTTGTAGCCCATGTCATGCATGGTCCAATGCCATAATCTCCTCCAGTCTCTGTAAGACTGTAACTGTCGGCATAAATCCACCACATTGAATTTGATGTTGATTTTTAATTAGATAACGCCTTGAAGATTTTAGGAGGAAGATTCTTTCATCTTTGAATATATTATGTTAATGACTAATGGGCCCCCAGTGGAAAAAGAGACACTGCAAGACCAATCTTCCTCCAAAACTTTCCTCGTACACCACCAGTATTGTTAACTACTTACCATAAGCTTGCATTTTTAACCATAATTAATCCTACCCACCCAGTAATTTCTCCATCCCAAAATCAATTAAAAAAATAAAAAATTACTGCCCCCAAATCCTATATAAACCCCCTCACCCCCCACTTCAACTTCATCATCCAAAACATCAAGCTCAAAACATTCTTAAGCAAACACAAGCGCTTTTCTTCTAAGCACTTCCTCAAACCCTTAACCACTTCCTCAAACCCTTAACCTTCCTCAAAACCTTAACCATCCTCTCTTCCTACCTAGCAAAACCCACTTCACCTCAACCACCATGGCTCCAAATATCACCACCGCCACCACCATGGTCCCCGCCACCAAGGCAGCCAGTGGGCCCAGCAGGGCTTACGTCACCTTCCTGGCCGGCACCGGTGACTATGTGAAGGGTGTGGTTGGCTTGGCCAAGGGGCTAAGAAAAGTGAAGAGCAAGTACCCTCTGGTTGTGGCCATCTTGCCAGATGTCCCCAAGGAGCACCGTCAGATACTGGTCTCCCAAGGCTGCATAGTGAAGGAGATCGAGCCTGTGTACCCTCCGCCCAACCAGACTCAGTTCGCCATGGCCTACTACGTCATCAACTACTCCAAGCTGCGCATTTGGGAGGTAACGTATTTTCTATTTCTGCGTTTGCATGCTTTCTACACGTGTGTCTTTATTTTAGGTTATTGGGTTTCAACGCGTGTCCTGTCGGTTAGATTTATAAGGGCACTATAGTAAATTTATTGTTATTTGTTCTAAATTTTTTTATTGAATTTTTGCAGTTTGTGGAGTACAGCAAGATGATCTACTTGGACGGTGACATCCAAGTTTTTCAGAACATTGACCACCTGTTTGACTACCCAGATGGCTACTTCTATGCTGTGATGGACTGCTTCTGTGAGAAAACTTGGAGTTCCAGCCCACAGTACAAGATTGGGTACTGCCAGCAATGCCCTGACAAGGTCCAGTGGGCCCCTGAGTTGGGCCCAAGGCCTCCTCTCTACTTCAACGCTGGCATGTTTGTGTATGAGCCAAGCTTGCCCGTTTACCATGACCTCCTCAGAACCCTCCAAGTTTCTCCCACCACCTCTTTTGCTGAGCAGGTGAAGATTGGACCGCCAAAAAAACACCTCTCAATTGGGTTTTATTTATATAATCTGACATGAAATTTGCTGCGATTTTGGCAGGACTTTCTGAACGTGTTTTTCAGGGACAAGTACAAGCCCATCCCTTCAAACTACAACCTTGTTTTGGCCATGCTCTGGCGCCACCCTGAGAACATCCAGCTTGACCAAGTCAAAGTTGTTCACTATTGTGCTGATGTGAGTACTAATCACATCTTTAATCACAGCTTGATCACCCAACTAATTAAGATCTCAGTTGCTAATTAAATTTTGTTTTTTGTTTAGGGTTCTAAGCCATGGAGGTATACTGGGAAGGAGGAGAACATGGAGAGGGAGGACATTAAGATGCTGGTAAAGAAATGGTGGGACATTTATGACGACGAGTCATTGGACTTCAAGAACATTGTGGCTGCAGCCGAGGCTGGAAATGGCGCAGACCACGTGGACCTGCAGGCATTCAAGGCTGCTCTGTCGGAGGCTGGCGTTGTCAATTTCAGAACTGCCCCATCTGCTGCTTAGTTGGCCCCTGCTGTTTCTCAAAGAGAATGAAGTCTATATAGAATGTATTGGATTTTATTTTTTCTTGTCTCCCTAGGAATATTTAACTTGGGAGTCATTTTTTTTTATGTGTGAGGACCTTTTTTTTTGTTTGGTCTAAAGAGTATCATTCATGTCCTCTGTTATTTAGTTCTAAATATATTTTTAATTTATATATATTTGCAATTTGTCACTTTCACTTCGTCCTTTGAAGGCCAACCTTCGATCAAACGAATATGAAGCATTGAGCAAGAAACCAACATAGAGTATGAATGGTTCAAACAACCAATATGGGGAAACCCTCATCAGTTATTTAAAAAAATAAAAAAAAATTATATATAAGCAATAATCTACTTTAACGAACAACTAAAACTTATTTAGCTGCGCTAGAGCAATATATCGGTTCACACTGATTGAAGTGTCCAGCTTTAAAAGCACAGATTCTTGAAGCTGATTAATTTCCAGTGAGACAACAGAGATGCCTAATGAACATCTTAACGCAAACTCATTTGCTTGAAGCAAAGCTGAATTGTTCTCGTACTGTCTCTTCTGTGACAAGAGATGTGCTGCTTGGATTTGGGGCCTCACCTCCTTGTAAAATCTCACACAGGCATCAAACTCCACTTTCATCTTAGCTGCAGTGGCATTGTGGCTTAGCTCTCTGAAAGTCTCAAGGTTTTGGTCAGCTTGCTTCCCTGCTAGCTCTATAGAAATCAGTGAGAGTTTAGGCAGGTCAGCTGAGGTGGTGCATGGGACAGTTTGTAAATTTGTCATACATGTTTTGGGGTTTTGGGTTTTGGAGCAAATCTTGGTCAGGGTCTTGTAAGAGACGCCAAAAGAACCTATGAAAAAAGAAGCAACAATCACAATAGCACAACAGATTGCAGAGCTAGATGAAACCATTCTTTATATAAAGAAAATGCAGTTTCACTTGGTTCTTAATTAAATCAAACAAAACTGACATACTAATCGTAATGCCACATAAACTTCTAAGAATGGTTGATTTGGGTTGGGCTTAAACTTGATATATTTTGTTTATTGGACTGATGTTTAAACCAAGCCCGCTATGGTTTTTTTTGTGTCTGCTATTCTTAAGCTTAGCCCCAAATGATATGTCGTATTTAACAAAGGATATTCGTATGACATCTTTGTGTTAGCCTTCACTCAAATTATTACACTAATTATTGATTCCCGTGAATTTTGTGATTTGATATTTTTGTTAAAACTAAAATAATACTTTTACTCCAAAGTATTAAATCTTCCCTAACCTCTTCCCCAATCAAATAAACCAATAAGGAAATGTATTAATATAATAGGATAAAAAGCATGTGCGATTTTTTATCATTGCATTTCAATTAGAATCAAGAAAATTTAATTACGGAAAGTGTTATATCAGACCAAAAAGATATTACAGTATGGATTGCAATGTCATATATCACATAAATTGAGAACAAGAAGTTGGTGTCCGCAACAATACTAATAAGAAAATGCAATATTAAATCAATAGTCCAAATTGCTGGTTAGAAATTTGTTTTTTTTTGCAGCAGGAGAGTTTGCCAACGACAATGGCAAAGTCACAACAAACAGTGCCAACATACCCGTCTCTGTTGCTAGTTAGAAAGAAATCTTTTAGAAATAGAAGCATATATAGTAGAAAATGTGTATGAATGAATTAAACTATAGGACCAAGGAGGAGAGCAAGGCTGAATATTCATAGCGAAGAGTAGTTAAAATAAATAAATAAATTTGTTTTTTTTTTTTTTTTGGTCTGAACCACGAGGTGGTCCTGGATGGGCTCCAACTATGGATGGCACCTTTAAGCCTTAACCACAACCCAGACTAATCCCCGTTCACACCGGGTCGGCCCGTAAGGAGTAAAGTGCTGGCCAAAGTGGTGACTCCATACGAGAGCAGGGATCGAACCCCTGACCTCTCTTAAGGAATGAGAGTGCCGAACCACTCACACCAACCACCTTGGTTATAAATTTGTTTTTTTCACCGAATCATAATATATATTTGGATATTGCATACATCAATGTGACAATAATGTCATTTGTCATCAACCTTAATAACAAATCTATGCGCAAAAAAGAAAAGAGAAAATTAATATGATGGGTCAAGATGGAGATGCGTATGCATATTGGTGTTGTAGTGTTGGCCACCATGGTATCACAAATGTGAAAACACGTTTTCCGGGACTATCAATAGCACGATATCGCCAGAGCATAACGACCTCTAGGGTTCTAGTACGAAGGTCGTACATGACTTGGCGACTAAACAATTGTAGATACAAGACATGCTCGTTATTTGGATCGAAATCTTGCACCATTATAGTATGTTTCCAAAAGCCTACATTTTTGTTTTGACTGATGAGTGGAGTTTCCGAAACAATTTGATCGGTGTAAATTATGTGTACTAAACACCATTTGTTGCTGGACTCATGATCACGATCATCGTCTTTCAACTCCCAGATACTAACACCATGGTGTGTTCGACTATCCAGAGTGGAATAGACGAACACTTGGCACATTCGCAGGCGCCCTCGGCACACACCCAGGAAATCAAAATGTGCACGCCGCTCTTCATCCGGCTTACCAATGAAACGACAACGAAATGTATGGTGGTTAACAATATCATCAGTAATCATACTACTACTAGTGTTAGGCTTATCATTGGAAAATGGATCCAAGCCAAAAATAAATTCATACCCCCGCCAATACAACATCCCATTGTGAGCAACACCAGCATCATCAGACAAACGATTCAAACTAAAACTTCGTGGGCTTAATGCAACTGCCTCTGTCCATTTACCACTCTCAGAACAGAACATTTGCAAGTTGAACTGAAAGGAATTAGGCCTTGCATCCTTAATCTTAGGAATTATTATTTGCACAATCTTGTACCTGTACCTGTAGGATTCTTGTTTTCGATCTCCAATACTAATGTCATCATCATCATCATTTTGGTGCTTAGGACTGCATATGAATCCCGCTTGTACTACCTCGTGACATCGAGGAGTAGGAGGAAGAGCAACCCACTGCTTAGTGTAGGGATTACAGATGTAGTAGTCACGTTGATTGAACCAAGTTGCGCAGCAACAAACTAGATCCTTATATGTCCCAACCACAAGTGGTTCGTCTCTTCCTGTGGCTCCATAGCAAGGGAGGAAACTGAAAGAGAACTTGCGCCTGTGTTTGCTGTGTATTCCCAACTGCTCCTCTA